GGCCAGCGAGTCGTCACCGTTGGTTAAATACGAGAACACTTTCGTCCTTCAGTAGAGCCATGGTCCTCAGAACAGCTTGGCAGTAATCCTACATACAGTAAATATTTAAAACTTGTTTAATAGTGTTATGCCAGGCACGCTAGACATCATGTCATTATAAGCTCCGTCGCTTAGACGATCAGTCATTTATTAAGTCACGTTGCAACTTAGTAATATGAACACAACGTGTCACCAATCATATATATATATAACTGTATCATATACAAACAATTCCACCCCCGTTAAAAATTCAGAAGTGTGAATGAACCCATTAGCAGATACCCAACGTTACGAAAACACACCAAAAACACGAACTAGTAGGAAGGGACCTACCCTGCATTTTCAACACAGAGCCTTCCCTCAATTGTCACAGTCCTGCTCTACTGCATTTACCACACGGCATACCAACAGTACCTTTACTGAGTCACCTGATAGCATCACCTGTATCACTGCAACCACCAGCCCAACGGATCGCGCAGTGTGAAGCGCTGAGCGGTGGGCGCCTCCTCCCAGTAGGTGGGTATAGCCCCGGACGCCATGCAGCCCCGTAGCGCGGGATCAACTGCCGCTGCGAAACAACCATCACACACGACACTCGTTCAATTAAACAACTGTAGTAACGTTCGTGCACATCGCAACGTTTTGTTTCCCCTCAGATTAGCGCCCTTTATCGTTTAGGCCTTGGCCTAGGTCTTCGTTCATTGTTTTTAAGGGATTCTCCACGAATCAGTGTCACCAGTGTTGCAGTCGGTACCACAGATACCACACATCCAACTGCCCAGTGAGGACAAAACTAGTTCTATGGTTGAAGAGTTCCTACCTCCTAACATAGCTTTACCATGACAACTATCACTATCTAACATCCACACTCCCGTCCCACTAAAGCAGATCACAGTCGTGTCCATTAAACACTTCAAAAGTAAAAAACACCTATACAGTGTCTGTGAATGAATAGATAAACAAATGTTTTTGAAGAATTGCCATCAGAGTTCATCCTAGCCCCCCATTTAACGCCTTCGCCGTCATGCGCTGATTTGATCACTTGAGAGGAGCAGCTTGGTGAGTGGTCGCAGACCTGCGTCCCTGGTAATCGCCTGATGAGGCAGCAGCAACCTGGCAGAAGCCGATGAACGTTCCTCTACCCCAGCGCCATGATACCGGTGCTGGAAGTGTGGCAATCCCCTGCAAACACACACACACACGCATCCTGAGCATACGCGCAAGCAAGCCAGCAAGGCCTTCAATAATGAGTGCAAGTAACGATACGAACAGCCACGTAGTGGAATGGCGCATATTGTGGTAATCGGCAGCGTAAAGTCAATCCTTCATTACACTCTATAGCCGAATCAATTGCAACGAACCAACACCCATGCAGCCAGAATGACGCACTAATAAACACTGTGTACAACTTAACCGTGAAAAATCACCTGTTCCCAACCAAAGCTGCTGGCAGCAGAATGACTGCACTAACTCACCCTGTGCAAGTACTTAACTCGTCCTAAGCACACTTGCAGCACAATGCTGCAATAGCATTGCAGCACTTTGCAGACTGCACTGACCTCCCACCACAGCACAAATGAGTACCAAACTTGCTCGTTGCAGATGCATATTAAGAAGGAACTACAAGTCGTAAATTCAGATGAAGCCAGTCCCATACTGCCCAGCGGGGAACGATTTCAAATTTTAAGCATAGCCCATAGCTCTCCGCGATAACCCTTATACAGTCAATACACTACGCGCGACACGGAATAATATACATATATTTCAAACCTGCACCATGTACAGCCGGCCGCCCTTCCTCGCCCTGTCGCCCGTTGATCGAAAACGGGGACCGGGGGTTCCAGATCGGTGGATAGGTCGCGCGTGCGCGTTCTTCGTGCTGACCAGCACATCTGCACGATCCGAGAGCTGATGCCTTCACAACGCCCGAGCCGTTCTGACGAACCTGAATAGTCAACCGATCAAACACTCATCGTACAACACTCATCACGATCACAACCACTCAATAAACTCAATGATCAAACCCTCAAGAATGATAATACACACAAATCAACCAACAAATCAAAAATCGTAGGAATATTTAATATTATAAACCATGGTAATCAACGTAAAGGACTGCACTCCAAAGCAATTTTGGTTTAAAATAAAAAAAAAATAAAAAATAAAAAAATAAAACATAGTAAAAATTTAGATATAAAATAGAATATTTGAATAAATAAAAAAATAAATAAAAATAAAAAAAAAACCAATAATAAAAAAAAATAACCTAAAAAAAAAAGAATATTAAAAAAAAAATATAAAAGACTTTAAAAAAAAAATAAAGACATATAAAAAAAAAAAAATTAAAAAAAATAAAAATAAAAAATAAAAAAAACAAAAAAAAAAATATAAAAATAATATAAAAAAAAAAAAAAAAATATAAAGAAAATTAAAAAAAATATACAAAAAAAAATATACTAATAAAAAAAAGAAATAAAATAAAAAAAAAAAAAAATAATAAAAATAAAAATAAAAATATATATAGTTAATAAAAAGAAAATAAAAAATAAATCAAAGATAAATATCAATAAAATAAATAAATAACAATATAAAAAAAAAAAAAATAATAATCACAATAAAAAAAAAATATTATAAATAAATATGAAAATAATATATAAAAATAAAAAAATATAATAAAAATAAAAATAAAAACAAAAAAAAAATATTAAAAATAATATATGAAAATAATATATAAAAATAAAAAAATATAAT